ATAGGTAAACTAAAATAACTCCCCCCTCCAAACAAAAGGTCAAGACTTTCCTGATTCACCCCCCACCTTCTCCTCTGCAGGAGTGCAGATAATGGTGGGGGAAGACTGAAATGTTTTGCTCACAACGAGACTCAGACTTTAAAGCCAAAGCTCAGAACCGTAATGTAAAATCAGAACAAAACCCAACAGTTTTGGTCAGGTGACACTTTTGTTTCAGCTTTCTCTCTCCCCCACCCACACCCCTCATGGTACAGAAGCCTGAAGGAATCGGGACTGTTCCTGAAGAGGTGGTCACGTCGGAAATGCCCCCTTCCAGCCCATGTTAGAAAGCTTCCTGTAACAAAAAAGGCGGCCTATGAAAGACTTGAGCAAAGCGTTGACTCTGGAGCTGATTGAACTGTAGTTTAAAGATCACTGATTGAACATTTAAAACATGACATGGCCCTACTAAATGTGTTGCAGAGGAATATGCCCCCATTTAAACTCCATCGTAGATGCCTTGAGACTCTGGTTAAGAATCTAGAATGTTAACACAGGGAGGTGGGAATGTAGTGTGATGCAATGAAATGGGGAGGAGTTAAGCAGTCTTAAGACTTTGGGGCAGAAGCCTTTGTTATGATGTAAGACTTTGGGGGAGGAATCAGACTTTCTGATCTGCAAAGACTTTGGTATATGTTCATCTCACAGGTGTGACATACGGTACAGTGTTTCAAACCTTTTCTTTTTTTTGTGTTCGTAACTATACTTTGTTTTTGCTCTGGAAATGCACCTTGCATTTACAGCAGCGTGGTCCAAATGAATTGACTGACTTGGTAATCGTCTTAAATTGGCTGTTGCGCTGCTGCAGATGCAAACATAATTGTTTTTTTCAATGTGAATGCAAATGTGCAATGTGTGTTAGAGGAAATTATTCAAGCTGTTTAAATGTTTGTGTATAATAATTTGTATTTATCTTGTGTACCTTTTCTAATCCACTTTTTATTTTGCGGTCACCCAGTGAGGATTTCAATGGCTTTGTTCATTTCCCTCGGGTCACGTTTAATTCTATTGCAGGTTTTTTGCTCAGTAGATATTTTATAGCAATTATTACATTTTAAAGTTATAGTTGCATTTGAGTGATTCAAGAGTAGTTTTAGAGATTCTGCTTTGCAGATCTATGAAAACAATCTGGGTTAGGCCATTTTTTTGTTACCAAGTCTTTTGAAATATTGTCTGCTCTAAAGTGGCATTATATAATTCATCAGAGATTTCATAGCAGCAGATTGTCCAGAAAAGATGGTTAACCAGTTTAAGGAAATATTCTATATGGCTGCATTTACACTGCAAGTCTTAATGCACAGATCCGATCTTTTGACCATATCTGATTTTTTGACCCGTCTGTTTACATTCACTTTAGACGCGACTGGTATCCGATATCTGTGTTTACATAATCCCCATCCAAAATGCTAGTCAATTATCGCTTTATTATGCAAATGGTAGACCCTCAGGTTTTGAATGGCCGTGCTATTAAAATTATTTAAATAACACACGTCAAGTGGCCATTATTATTTGCCAGGATGGACAACAGCTGTCATGGATGTTTTGCAGCACAAAATCTGACTGAACGGATAAATAACGGAAAATAATGGTAATTTTCATTTGTTAGGCTCGTTAGAGGTGGAATTCTTCAGTGAAATAAAGTAGCGCCAAGATGATATTTGTTTAAATGAATTCGAATGAATTAACAAGAGAGATAAGAAATATAATGTAGCTTTAGCGAAGCTGTTATATTTATAAAATTCACGGTGCAGGGGTTGAAAAACAGCTCCTGCATGTGCAATTTCTTAGCCTACATAAAGTTTCCATCTAAATAAAATGCGAGCGCATGCACTGGCAAGCGTGTCGCCCTCGAATTGGGAGTTCTGCGGGGATTCGGATACGTGTGTTTAGACGTAGGTCGGATGTCCAGATATCGGATATATATCCGATTAAAATCCACATTTGGAAGTGGCTCAGATCGGATGCGAAAAAAATCGCATCTCGTATGGATTTTTGTGTTTACACGCATGCATCAAATTCCGATCTGTGTCAGATGTGGGCAAAAAAATCTGATTTTTTTCTGCCAGTGTAAACCTCAACATTTAACCTCAAACTGCTTTTGATGTTAAATTCCAACATTTGCTTTGAAACGATTCCAAGTCATTTAGTTTGAGGATAGTAGTATTACTAACTACTGTATTTGGCACCAAAGCACCCTAGTGACCATTCAATTCATTCAAGTTTAATGCTACTGAATACATCTTTATGCAGTATATCAGTACAGTCTCAGAGTTTTCCAGTAGATGTGGGTTGCATTTACCTAACCTTAAACAGAAGAGTAAAATATGCTGCCGATTTAAATTAAGTGCACTGGCACATCCAGCTTTGCAGTTAAATTTATCTCAATGATAATACAAGAAATTGTGTTGTCTATTGTCTGGAAAATTTCTAGCACATTTTTTTTAACCTTCTGTCATTTAGTCCAAGACCAGTCACAATAACATTAATTGAATTGAATTATTGCTTGGTTGCTCATGGCTGGTTTTTAGATTAACAGGTAGGTACTTTCTTTGGATCTGTGATCATCTCTGCTTTTAGATTTTTAAATGAACTTGGTTTTGCAACTTGTTCAATGGCCTATTGGAATGCTACCATACTAGATATGTTCAGATGTATTGCACTTGTTGGTTTAACTTCATTTGGTCTGATAACTGTTCAACCATCTCTTCCCAGAATTGTTTGAACTGTTACTTGATTTTCTTGATTGTCGTTGACTATGTTTACATGCACACCAGGAAACTGCTTATTGCGAGAGCGCTGCCAAACTGCCATTGCATGTTCCATGTTAGCAGTGCATTTTTAACTGCATATACATGTGGCACGATTGGTAATTGGCTGTCCTACTACTTTGTTACTTTTAGTTGTCTAATCTTTTCCACTCACATGCACTCCTTAAAAAGCTGTAAGAACTCGGTCACATAAAGCCCAATCTCTTGCAGAAATTCAGTCGTGTTGATCCTCATGTTCTGCTTTTACTAGTTTCAGAATAGCGCTTTGTTTTGCATTTTCATAAGTGCATGTAAACATACTTTATTGGTCAACAATATTTACCAGTCTGAAGACCAGTGTGGCCATTGGAGAGTTTGTTGGAAGCTGTTTCTGGTTGGCTAATGTCACCGCCCAGTTTGTAAATGCAGTGGCTACTTGTGTCGACCCTGTGGTCATGTTCACCATGTGATGTTAGACTTGTTTCCCTTGCAGCCAGACTGGTAAGAAGCTGATGGCGAAATGTCGCATGCTGATCCAGGAGAATCAGGAGTTGGGCAGGCAACTGTCTCAGGGGCGCATCGCCCAGCTGGAAGCCGAGCTCGCCTTGCAGAAGAAGTACAGCGAAGAGCTCAAGAGCAGCCAAGATGGTGAGCAAAACCTCTCTCCTTTCATCTAACTCCATTCATGGTTTGTTTTTATGGAACTTAAACTCACTTTTAGTTGTTCTTTTTTTGTACCTGTGCATTTTGTGTGGTCCAGAGCTCAATGACTTCATCATTCAGCTGGATGAGGAGGTGGAGGGCATGCAGAGCACCATCCTGGTTCTTCAGCAGCAGCTGAGGGAGACCAGGCAGGAGTTTTCTCAGTTGAACTCCCAAGGCACTTCTAGTGGAGCTGGTCCAAGCAGAACTTCGCCTTCAGCGGCCTCTGAACCTTGCATTCAAAGCGAACCTGCGAACGCCTCCTGCTCAAATGTTGCGAAAGACTGCGGAAGGGTGTCCAATGGACCCTCCAACGGGAGCTCGTCTCAGAGGGCCGCGTCTGGGTCCAGTCTGTATAGGGAAGCGAGCAGCGCAGATGAAGATTACCCACCATCGCCATCTGTCTCCAGCCCCACTCATGGTGGCATGTCAAAACTGTCCAACCACTCAGAAGATGCAGTGAGCCAGAGGGGCGGAGAAGGGTACGTGACTCAACTAAGTGCGGGCTATGAGAGCGTGGACTCACCAACAGGCAGTGAGACGTCAGTGACCCAGCACTCGAACGATACAGACTCCAATGCTGACTCCCATGAGGCCGCTGCTGTCTCCAAAGGCAGCAGGACTGCGGGTATGAGGCACAGCACTCAGAATGGCCTGGACTCATCTGCAGCAACAGTTGCCACCAACACCTCCAATGCCTCCACAGGGTCTGTTTTGTAACATTCTTAAAGTTTCACAGTTTGTTTGTTTTTAACCACGACAAACAAGGAAATCACACACTTCAGGCCAGTTAGTTCTTGTTTGAGAAATGGTCAAATGCATCACTTTTGTTTTCTACCCGACTTTCCATCATAACCTATTTCAGTGCATTTGCGACATTCTCAAAGCTGATTACGTTTATAAAATGAGCAACATTGCGTTTGTATATTTGAATTCTTCTTTTTTTTTAATGAATGACTTTTAAACCATTTTTCCTCTGTCAAAGTAATATGAACACTTGGTTCTGTACTGTTCATTTGTTCACTTGTTAGAACTCAGAAATCATTTAGCTACGTGTGATGTATCAATGCTCAATTAAGTCTTGAAGCTGCAAGTTCAGAATTCTTAGTTTCCTGATGTTGAACTTTTCTTTTGTTCCTCTACATGACGAGAGAAAACGTTTTGTTTGACTTGCGTGTAGTTTTTTTTAGATGTATCTTGTTAAATTCTGATTTCAATCCTTTTCATGTACTGACCAAATATCAATAAAGAATTTTAATATGACTCAAACCTTGCTTTGAATAAATTCTATCAAAACCATTCCATCTGTTTATCAACATGTCATCAATTGAATGCCTAATCAGTCAAATGCATTTAAATGTGTGTATTTAGTGAGACTAAAGTGATGTTTGAAATATTTTTGATGTAAATTGGCTTTTTAATTAAACAGATTTTTAGTGGTGTCTAGTATGCATAAGCAACGTTTTGCTGCCTTTTGTTAGCCGTCCACACCGTTAGATGGCGCAACACCAAAATAAAACCAATGCATCAGACTGGCAGATCTCGGTTATGATGCTTTCAATTCCTAGTCTTGTCTTATCAAATGAATGAGACAACGTAAAGTAGGAGGCTCCTCGAAACAACCTGCATATATATAGAGTCAGCCTACCGGACACATAACAAGGAACCTGCCAGCATTACAGCAAAGATGAACACGGATGCGATTGTTATCGTTTCTGCCGCAAGGACTCCTATAGGTAAACTCTCAAAATGTCATGTATCATATCGCGATGATATTTTCCACACGATGCTGAGCACCTCTTTGTAACGTTAGCTGCAAACGGCAGTGCATCCTGTGGCAGCTTGTTGACAGATTATACTAGAAAGTTTTATCTCCTGTGTCACTAACTCCTGCGTTATTAAGCTAACCAAATAATAATCTGCGCGATGAAGCTCATGAAAGATAGTCTGTTTGCTTTGGTTGTATATCGTCAAAGTATGTGTCTTGTTTATTTTAATTAGCTAATGCTCGAGCTATACGGCAGTAGTGTAATGTCTCACTATGGTGCAGAAGAAACGTAAAGCTGCTCTGATTGGTTGCTCGGGGTTCTCACCAGTGTTCTCGTGCTCTGATTGGTTAATTTATTGTAGCGCCATGGCCAGGAGAAATTTTATTGATTGGTCATCCAGATAAACCTTTGCTGAATCCTTTATCATTCATATATAAATTCATATATACATGTATACTTAAAAAAAAAAAATAAAATTCTGACCATTAAGTAAATGATGCTATAATGCTTATCCTATAACTTGTATTCATGGAAATAATACCAATATTTAAATGAAATAACAGCTTTAGTAAATTAGAAATCGCGTTAAAATTCCTTTTTCCGCTCTTTATGATTTTGACCTGGTAAAAAGCTAAAGTCAGTATATGGGCACTATGGCTTTATTTGCCTTTTGCTTTCTTCCATAAATTATATTATTTAGATGAAACAAAAGTATCAATATTTTTGCTTTTTTATTGACAGGATCATTCAATGGAGCCCTTAGTAGTGTACCTCTCAATGATTTGGGGACATTAGTCATTAAAGATGTGCTTAAGAGGGCCAATGTGAAGCCAGAAGAAGTCTCAGAGGTCATCATGGGTCATGTCCTCACTGCAGGTATAGCACCTCATGTAGTATACTTAGCCTACTCACCACCATATAAATACAGAACTCATCAGTGAGAGTAACGCACAAAGCTCAAGTTCACTTGTGGATTGATAGTCTTCTCCTACATGTATTTAAGGTCATGGGCAGAATCCTGCCCGGCAGGCAAGTGTTGCTGCTGGTATCCCATACTCAATGCCAGCATGGAGCTGTCAGATGATCTGTGGATCTGGCCTGAAGGCTGTGTGTCTTGGTGCTCAGTCCATCATGACTAAAGAATCCACTATAGTAGTAGCAGGAGGCATGGAGAGCATGAGTCGGGTAAGACAGCTGTCAGGAGCACTTCTGTTATCTTTAAGTAAAAAGTGATGATAACCGTGCAGCACTTTGTCTGTCAGGCTCCTCATATAGTGCAGATGAGGTCAGGGGTGAAGATGGGAGATTCTACTTTGCAGGACTCCATACTGACTGATGGACTCACAGACGCCTTTTACAATTACCACATGGGAGTCACAGGTAATTTCTTAAAACAGACGGCCTACCTTTATTGTGTGCTTTAATTGGGCAACTGATCTAGCTGTGGTCATGTGTCTGTGTTAGCTGAGAATGTGGCCAAGCAGTGGGGGGTGTCCCGTGAGGCTCAGGACCAGTTTGCCGTGATGTCACAGAACAGAACTGAAGCAGCTCAGAAGGCTGGAGATTTTGACCAGGAGATTGTGCCAGTTACTGTTCCCTCTAGGAAAGGTAAGAGGCTCATTGTATTCAGAAATATGATTTTATTTTTCAATATTTATATATGATTTTATTTTTCAGTATCTCAATAAATATTTAAACACTACCATTCAAAAGTTTGGGGTTGATATATATATATATATATATATATATATATATTACATTTTTGAAATAAGTCTCGTATGGTCACAAAGCTGCATTCATTTGATATAAAAAATACAGTAAAACCAGTAATATTGTCGTTTCAGTGTCACATGATTGTTCAGAAATTATTCTAATATTTGAAAATGACTCCCCAAAAACTGATTTGGTGCTTAAGGAACATTTCATAGTATCAATATTGAAAACCGTCATGCTGCTTAATATTTTTGTGAAAACCATAAAAAAATATTTTAGGACTCTTTAAATAGAAATTTCTAAGGAACAGCATTAATTTATAATATTGTATTTATTCTTTTAATAATATAAAAGTCTTTACTGTCACTTTTGATCATCCTGCATCCTTGCTGAAAAAGATTATTACTTTCAAAAAAACATCTTACACACCTGAAACTTTTGAACAGTAGTGTGCCTTATTCAGTCGAGGCAGTTTTGTTTACTGCAAAAATAATTTTCTTAATCAGTATTTTTGTCTCGTTGTCTAGTAAAATCATCTTTATAATGTTTTTCTTTCTTGATTAAACCTCCATAAACCTTACAACAAGAAAGTTACCTAAGTAAAATAAATAAAATAAAATGAAGGTGTACTTTCTGAAATCAAGTCTTAATATCTTATGCAAATTCTCAAGTAAATGAATTTTGAAAATAACAAAAATTGATTTATCTATTTATTTTGGAATGTTTGTATCTCTTTGTATTTACCTCTGATGACATTGAATATAAATTCAAATAAACCCTTTATTACCATATCAGGTCCAGTCGAGGTCAAAGCTGATGAGTTTCCGCGGCATGGCAGTAATATTGATGCTATGTCCAAACTGAAGCCTTGTTTTGTAAAGGATGGCTCTGGTACAGTGACAGCTGGCAATGCATCAGGTAAATGGTGACATCTTTGACACTCAGTTATGACACAATTTAAGTGTCATTTTCATTGCATAGAGACAATAATGCTTTTTTTCCATTGGTTTTTGTTTAACAGGCATAAATGATGGAGCTGCAGCTACTGTTCTCATGAGCCAATCAGAGGCCCAGAGGCGGGGCTTAAAACCAATGGCACGCATCACGTCCTGGGCTCAGGCAGGCCTTGACCCTTCAGTCATGGGCACAGGGCCAATTCCAGCCATTAGAAAAGCTGTGAGTATCTGTTGAGTCATCACAGGGCCTAATTCATCCACATGAATGAAGAATGAATTCTTGTATTCAGTGCTTATCCTGAAATAGCAGTCAGGGGACCAATATAATCCAATAAAAACCCAGATTTACAATTGGGTTCATATTATAATATGATATAACTTTTAACTTTTAAAGTGAATTGTATATGCTTTCTAACCAGGTCGATAAAGCCGGATGGAAGCTGGATGAGGTTGATCTGTTTGAGATAAATGAAGCGTTTGCTGCTCAGTCCATTGCAGTGGTAAAGGAGCTCGGTTTAAACCCTGATAAGGTGTGTTATTTCTTCCACTTTATAAATACTTTACTTCATGCTTCATACAACTTTACACAATATTATTTTGACACAGTTTCCCAATGATTTCTGTACCACAGTGACAAGATTGTAATATCATGATGAGTCTCCATTATTGCAAATATTGGAGGTTCATCTCCCTTGACCTTTGTTCACTTACCCTATCAGTGACCAGACTGCTACATGAAAATGAATAAAATGACCTCTTTGCCTAAGTAAAAAAAAAATATATATATATATATTTATGGAAAGACAAATACTCATCTGTCTCATTTTCCCCACGATTTTAGTTTATAGTTAATTTACCACTTCATTTGTCTCTCTTCCTTCAGGTGAATGTGTGTGGAGGGGCGATCTCTCTCGGACATCCCCTCGGTATGTCTGGCTGTAGAGTGTTGGTGACCCTGCTTCATGCGCTTCAGAGGACAGGGGGACGGAAAGGGATCGCTTCATTGTGTATAGGAGGTGGAATGGGTATTGCCATGTGTGTAGAGAGAGAATAAGCGCTGAGTACTCCTGATATAGACAGATTACTTCCACACTGTAATCGTGTGCTTTTAATCAGGCCTTGAATCCAGTTTGTCATATTCAAAACAGATGTTTAAAATCTAAACAGTCTATGATGAGACTAAAGCAAGTACATACTTAAGTCAGTACTTATATATATTGTAAAGGAAGGGAAGCCTGTAGTAAAATTCACAAATTGCCAATTCTGGTAAAATGATCTAATGTATCATCATATACAGTGTATCTGAGGCATTTTCACTTAACACTAATGTATTCCCTTCAGTCTTTTGTGATTTATGGTACATAAAGAGGACATATTGTATACCAGCTTTTAAGACATTCCTTTTCTGTGTTAATCGTCTATAGTTGCTGATTTACTCTCATAGTAGAGCTTCTATTGGTATTAAAACTGGGTCTGTCCACAAGCATATCAACTATAACCTGATAGATTTATGAAAATCATGTTGTGTTGTGTGTTTTAATCCATCAGTTGAAAGGAGTCGATCTGTTTGCAGCAGATTGTAAAATGGACCTAGTACGTAGATAAGACCTGTCGACACTGTGCAATAGAAAACTGCCTTAGAAAATGTCATATGTGCCAAAAAGGCAAAATTAGCCTCTAGCCTGTGCTTCCAATTGTCTGCTTTTAATACTCTCTCCCAATGTTAATTTATACCTCAGGGGAAAAGCTGTTTACATATTTAGCCTGTGTTGTACTCTTAATCTTACTGCTTACCCTGTGTCCTACAGTGAATGCAGATAAATTGGACCACTTTTTTTACCTAAAAATGTTTATGCACATTTTTCAAATCTTTACTATCATTACTATCATGCTTTTTGCATTTATTTCTAATATAAAATAACATGGTTATTTAGCAAATCTCAGCTTTTTGTCAGTCATGCTACTATATTTTTTAGATGTTCAGTAAAATATATATTAGCCTCATGAAATGTTGCAGTTAGCAGCTGCTTAGATCAGTTTACATTAATTGTAAACTGAATCTTAAACAACTATGATGTGGTTTCAACCTTATCAGCCTCATATTACCTCATGTCACCTTACTGTGAGAGATGACAGCGTCGCGGACAATTAACAAAGTAACCAATAGAGGGCGCCAAATCTCAATGGCGCTGATGACAAGCTCTTCATCTTGCCTGTTGAGTCTCAACTGTCAGTCTAGTAGTACAGGTCTGATTGTTGTCATGAAGTCAAAAGGGTTTTAAACCAGTCAAAATGCACATATGACGCCCACATTGTTAATAAATGCACAGACAGTATCATACATTGTACTCAAAGCAATGACACACTATATGAAATGTTAAATATAGATCAGAAAGCACCGAACAGGACGACGCCAAATAGGCTAGTGTGCGCAGGCAGGTAATCGGATTACACCTCTGAGAAACCACGCACGAGCTCATCATGTACTGTCTCTACTGAGCAATAAATTCTTCATTTAACGTCTTGTTCTGACTCTCATTCACAATGCCGCTCTTTATCAATCGAGACCAGATTTTTGCACATCAAGTCCATCTTCTAGAGCACAAACTACGGGTGAGTTTCCTCTTATATTGTCTGAATGTCAAAGAACAGGTGGGCTGGTAAATAACGTAATCTGTTTGTGTCGCTTTGATTGCATTTGATTTACAGACTACTGTCGTTATGATTTATTGCTATATTATTTGTTTTGAGCCGATAATAATTTTAGAAATTGCTATATCCTTATAATATAATATAATTAATATAATAAGTTACTAGACCTCTAGGCCTATGACCTCCATATTCGTTTTGTTTTTGTGTGAAGCCACCCACAAAAAGTAATGTTATTATTATGCAGTAGAGTACTTTGGTGATATTATGATATTCTTTGGCGTGTATTTGAATACTAAGTAAATACCTTGGTATATGAATAGGGTAATTATTCAGTACCATGGTCTTCTATAGGCCTATATCAAAATACTATAGTATTATCATCCCATACTATTAGTGTTCCATGGTATATCCGCCATAATTGTTTGTATTTTCTTAAGGGAGGCTGTGTCTCAAAATCTATAGTGAGCTGCTGACCTAGGATAGACAGCCTTTTGTGTTTTGTAGGCTCATTTGAACGACCTATGATGCCCAGATGTGTTGTGTAGGTAGGCAACTCGCTATGATTGTAAGCCACAGTTGTGTCAGGTATGCTAGGCTAGAGGATAGAGAATGATTGATGATCAGTTGAATTTTGTAATTTATTGAACTTGTATCGTTTTTATTTAAAAAATACGTTGTACTATTACATCTATTTTGTATAGTTATATACTTAAATGTAACAATAAAAAGTAATGTTATTATTATGCAGTAGAGTACTTTGGTGATATTATGATATTCTTTGGCGTGTATTTGAATACTATGTAAATACCTTGGTATATGAATAGGGTAATTATTCAGTACCATGGTCTATAGGCCTATATCAAAATACTATAGTATTATCATCCCATACTATTAGTGTTCCATGGTATATCCGCCATAATTGTTTGTATTTTCTTAAGGGAGGCTGTGTCTCAAAATCTATAGTGAGCTGCTGACCTAGGATAGACAGCCTTTTGTGTTTTGTAGGCTCATTTGAACGACCTATGATGCCCAGATGTGTTGTGTAGGTAGGCAACTCGCTATGATTGTAAGCCACAGTTGTGTCAGGTATGCTAGGCTAGAGGATAGAGAATGATTGATGATCAGTTGAATTTTGTAATTTATTGAACTTGTATCGTTTTTATTTAAAAAATACGTTGTACTATTACATCTATTTTGTATAGTTATATACTTAAATGTAACAATAAGGCCCTCTCTTTCTTTCTCCTTTCAGAGTAAAGAGGAGCGTATTTTGGAGTTGGAAACAGAGAACGCTCTCCTTCATTTGAGACTCGCTGAGGTATGGATGATGCAAATTCTGTGTGAAATGCATCAAACTCCTCTAATGGGGTTCGACCCTCCACCGCATTTAAGAGTTTGGCCTGCCAGATGGTTTCACTGCAAGATGAGTGGCTTGCAGACAGGCAACAGGTGCTCGCCAGTCTCACCTAATTTACTCACGTGCTTAATATCTGTATGAAGTACAGACCAGAAATATACCTTTGGTTGGAGATCCACCTACAAAAATATTATGAAAATATTATGATAATATTTGAAGTAGATATGAGTGCAATCCAAATACCATGATGTATAGATATGATAATCATTTTGTGTTATGATAAATGATTGATTTTTTTAAAGAAATTAATAATTTTATTCAGTTAGATGCATTAAACTAATCAAAAATGAGAGTCAACATGTTTGTTACAAAATATTTCTGTTTCTAATAAATGCTGCTCTTCCTGAGCTTTATGTTCAACAAAGACTCTCTGAGAAATATTAAAACTGTTTTCAAAATTAATAATAATAATAAAAAAAAGTTTCTTAAGCACCAAATCAGCATATTAAAATACTTTTTAAGGATTATGTGACACTGGAGACTGAAGTAATGGCTGCTGAAAATTCAGCTTTCCCATCACAAGAATAAAATAGATTTTTAAATATATATTAAAATAGAAAAAGTCATTTTAATTTGTAATAATGTTTCACAATATTTTTGATAAAATAAATACAGCCTTTAAAAATAATTTAAAAAAATCTTAGACTCCAGACTTTTTAATGGTAGTGTGTATCAAAATACCATAGAATTACCATCTCCACAATGTTTTTTGTAAGGTGAAAAAACTATGTAAATGCTCTGATCAGTTTGTATTTGTTCCCCATTGACCTTTCCTTAACCTTTTCAAGTGTCTAGGTAAACTCCGCCATGAGAGGAAGGAGGAAATCCATGTCCAGAGACAGAAACATCAGCAGCAGCGGAAGGTGCAGAAGTCCACACACACAGCTCTCTCCAAACTTCTGTCTGAAGTTCAGGTGATGGCAAAAACACTGCTTTGATGGCAAAAAAACATTGCATTTCAATGCTGCTCATTTCATCATCATGTGCTCCGTGTTGCTCTCAGATGCTGAAACAGGACTTGAGGGATGTTTTTACCATCTACGTGGGGTTTGCTAAAGAGCTGGAGGAACAAAGCAAGCAGCTGTTTGAATGTGTGGGCACTGCCAGAAATGCTATTCAGGATTTCCAAAGTGATGACCTTCAGAGTGAGTGTGAACTCAAATACCAGTATATCAGTTCATCTGTATTGTCTATGAATATTTGTGTCTCCAAATACACTTAATGAATCTCATTCATTAATTACGTGCACATACACTTCAACTCTGAACCTCCATCTCCTCTTCTATTTAATCTTCTGCTCTCATTCCCTTCATTCTTCCCCATCTGTCTCTTCCTTCATCTGTCTCCTTCTCTATCACGAAAGCAGCCGTGTTGTGACAGTAGGTATGTGGTGCAGTGTTCAGAGATTATCCACACTTCCCCACCCCCAGCCTCTCCTCCAGGAAAAGCTTCTGTCAGCAGGGACAGTGAGGTTATGTGTCCTGTGCGTCACCTGCACACCATGGTGACAAGCCTCCCGCAGGGCCTGTGGATCTTATCCCTTGTGTCACTGTATCTCAAAGTGCAAATGAAAAAATCTTCCTGACAAAAAGCTTTTAAGCATACATTCAAAGATTACAGTACATGGTGATATTTGTTTGCGTTTTCCCACTGTCATTATATAAGTTTGGCTTTTGATATTGTATTGATCACTACCATTATTGTTTCCAGTGATGTTTGGTGGAATTAATTTAATATAAATTTCTTTGCATTTAGATGTTGACACACATTTACTTCACGTGGCACTATCAACTATCAACAATTAAAAAAGTATATAAACCTAGAATTTATTAAACCAGTCACAGTTTAGTTTGTTATTGTAAACATTCAAAAATAATAAGTGCAAACAAAGATTTATTAACCAGAAACTTTTGAGTATCTTGTTTGTTACTACTAAATGTTGGGCTGTTATTAAATATAGTCACCTTTTTTCTGAACATTAGTCATCCAGCGGTCACACAGATGTAGGTAACCTTCAATTTAGTGTTCTAAGCGGTCACTAGAACTGAGTTGCATAAAGATAATTTAATGTTCATTTTGTGTCAAAAAGTGTGTAAATTTTGACCAAACTTGTGAGTTGTTTAGTTTGTAATTAGTCTGTACGTTTGCACCAGTTTGTCCCTTTCATGCCTACTTGTGGACGATTGCAGACATAATCGCATTGACGTGAAGGGACATTGGGACATTTGACCTGTATTTTGCCATTTTCCCCTCACATTCACATCATGCTTTAGGATCCTAAAAGATAACAAGCTGAAAACACTTGTTTATTTGGTGTACTGTGGCTATTGGACAGTGTTACTGTAGAAAAAAAATAAGTGATTTACACAATGTTTCATATTGTAAAATGTGGCTTGTTTTGGTTCTGTCAAGTATTTTCTCATTCAGTTTTTTTCTTTGGCTTCCGACAACATTGCTCAATCACTTTTTTTCTATAGTCAAATCATTAAACTTTCTGACTGCAGTGTCACATGGATTAGTGGTTTCTATATGTTAACACAATTGATCCTGCATTGCTTTGCGCATTCATATGTTAATGTACACAAATAGATAGTTGTGAAGATTTTTTTTCCCATTTTGTTTTCTGCAGAGCTCCGGGTTCAGGTGACCGCACTTGAACGCTCTTTACAGGAAGAGAAGGAGAGGTGCAGAGAGGAGCGGGCGAGGAGGAGGCTGCTCCACAACACCCTGGTTGTACGTATGTGGTTCTCTGATTTGATTTACTGTTCTTAATGTATCTATAGATTTAACATTTTGCCATTTATTAGGGAGTACATTGGATATGACATTATGTTATCACCTGCTGTGGTGGCTAATGTTTTTGAACCTTGAATATTTCAGTTATGAATATTTAAAGTATTTTAGACCAGTTTCCTTAAAAATGACTGTGTAAGCATTCAGGATGATTCAGTTAAACTAAAAATAAACACATTTCTCTCTGTAGGAGCTGAGGGGGAATATCAGAGTTCACTGCAGGGTGCGTCCAATTCTACACTTTGATCACATCCCAGGATCACCCACAACCAATGGGTAATGTAATCAAAATACATATTTAATGAATAGTGGTAGATTAATGCATATTAAATTAATAAAAATGTTGAATTTACATAATTGAAATTCAATCTAATTTACTAAATTAATAATAAATTGTGATTGAATTTAAATGAAAATATTTCATACAGAAACCACTTGCTTTGGGAATGCGGTATGTCTTGTAGGTGTACTAAATCTCATTTTCCTTTTTAAGATCTTCATCACGTGAAGCAGTAGTGCAGGCGATCAATGATGTGAGTGAACTGATTGTTTGTAGTGTTTATAAGATCTATAAAATTGTAATGGCCTAGTATTACAGCCTACACTCTCTGACCACCCTTGTTTTGCAGGACTCTGTTTTTGTGAACGGTGCCAAAACCTCAAGTCCTGTAATGAACAAAATATTTGAGTTTGAGAGGTATTGAGACTCTGCATAAAATGTAAACATTTAAGATGGGAGCTTTGGTGGTGGATAATGTAGCATGTGTTTGTGATTTTTTGGGATTTGCAGAGTACATGGTCCAGAAGACAGCCAAGAGACTGTGTTTGAGGAGGTGAAACCACTTCTAACATCTCTACTTGATGGGTAAGTGTCCTATTTAATACAACCAAGTTTAAATATTCACTATTACTTTTAGGGAAGATACTGTGATGAAATGAGTAAGTATATAATATTTATATACAAAAAGATCTCTTCTTCATTTCAGGTATAATGTATGTATCATGGCATATGGCCAAACGGGCAGTGGAAAGACACACACAATGATTGGCTCCCGATCTGAGGATCCCACAGCTGCAGTGCAGGACTCTCAACAGGGCATCATTCCAAAAGCAGCCAATGAGCTATTCAAGTAAGCCTCGGCTCACAGTTAAAATCACTACACGTTTCATTTATCTACAAAATCACAACATTAAGTCTATCTGTACTGATAAATGTTCCAGGCTGATCTCTGAGAAGCCAGCGGACAGTCATACGGTGGAGATGTCAGTGGTGGAGGTCTATTATAATGAAGTTCTGGACCTGCTGGCCAGAGATGAAGATGGGGCGACAGTTGGGGTAAAGAGAGAGGTCATCACCACCAGCACAGGCACCAGTGAGGTGCCCTGCCTAACATATGAGTGAGTCACAGCAGTCAGCATGAAGATACAACATATCACACCTTTCAACTTATTGTATTTGAACAGTTTTACAAAATACAATGGTCAGTTCAAATAATAAAGTGCCACTAACTATATAATCATGCATAGGATAACAAAAGTTATCAGCTTCAGTGTTTCCCATACATTGAGTTATTTGTGGCGGCCCGCCACAATATCAAAACTGAACGGCACAAATAGATTTTCCAAAAGGCTTTGGCTTCGTTGAATAAACATGAGCACTGCACGTTTCAAAATCGAAACCCGGTGCGGGTGTTTTTATATCACTGTATTTCTGAAGGAAACCGACTGTCTTCAGAAAATTTTGGATGTCATTTTCATTTCATCTTGCATTTAATGTCTGATAAAGCAGCATTTGTGAGCGGAGCGCTGCTTTGTGTACAGCCTTTACCGGGGAAACCTCTATTTCTCCAGCTCTAAGCGCCTCCTGCTGGCAGAGAATGAATTTGCATATGTATGCCGCCACAAATAGAGTGTAAGTCTGTGGGAAACACTGAGCTTTCAAGGTTTCAGTTTGTTAACATTAGTTAATGCATTAGGAATCATAAAATAACAACTATTTTTAAAGCCTTATTAATCTAAGTTATACATATACAATTGTTTACTGCAGGGTTATTATAGTTAAATACAACTAAAACTAAAAACATATATATATTTTTTTCATTTAGTTTAACATGAAGTACTAAAGTAACTAAAAGATAATATATAAAAATTAAAATAAAATATATAAAAATTAATAAAAACTATACAGACATAAAAAATGAAAACAAAGACATGACAAAATTACTAAAACTTCAACTGAAATTAAAATGAAAACAAAATGATAAAAAAACTAGTTCTGAATATTAATAAAAAATAGTATCTCAATTATATTAAAATAACACTTGTTCATTGTTAATTCATGTTTGTTTATAATACAATAATTATACATTCTGAAAAATGTATAGGTATATGTAGAAAATAACCACTTTTACACAGATTTACCAAATTAACAACTTTCAAAAGGGAAGAGAGTATGCTTTCCATATATATTGTTGTTTATGTCAAAGCATTTTTTCTATTCAGCTTATGTCATGTTAATAATTTTGCATTATTAATTGATCTATGCAGTTTGTGGTAATTTTGATAAATAATATTTGATGTTTGGGACATTTTGATCTCTTTTGTGCGATATATTAAACAGTTTTGGTACTGTTTAGATATTTTTGGGTGCATTAATGCATGTGTGGGTTGCATTTACTGTAAGTTTACAATCAGCATTTATTTTTTGTTTGACCTTTTTCATTGTACTTTGAGCTTTTGCTGCATGCACACATGGCTGTCACGGGTTTGCATGTGTTTGACTTGACGTGTGTGTGTGTGTGTGTCAGGTTGGTGCGGAGCTCTGCAGAGGTAATGCAGCTGATCAATTGTGTGTTAAAACTAAGATCTCACAGTCCCACCCTGGTGCACATGGACTCCTCCAGATCTCATTTCATCGTCACTCTCACAGTCACCTCCAAAAGCCCAGATGCACTGGCTCTAGGTATGATATACAGTGTTTCTTCAAGAGTGCCCCAACTCATAGGTTTTGAAGCTGTAATGTTCTCTCAAGCCATACGTCGCTATCTGCAGCACACGCGGTTATGGCTGTTAAGTGAGACCGAGCGTATTATCTGAAGACGCACACACAAACAATCATTCAAACAGCTCCATTTTCTCACACACCCACTGGATTAGTTATCTTCACATACACACACACACACACACACACACACACTTAAGCACTTTCTTGCTACTTTAAAAAGAGAGCCCAATGCTCATTCCAAAGGTTTCTCAAGATAGCACTGGCCATTGGTTGCCATTGGATTCAGGTGTGTAGCATCACAAACATATGGGCAGAAGACGTATAATTCTATAAAATGAATGGATATGGGACAAATCATAATGCTCAATATGGCCTCTGTAGTTCCGCTCTAAAGTTAAAAGAGCTAATCACCTTTTTAATAAAGGTGTAATTTATGTGTGTTGCAGCTCGTCGTCTGCAGAATGCCAGACAGGATGTCCAGCGGGTGTCTCAGAAGGAGTGGTGGAGCCCACGCTGCCGCATTTTGCACATGCCATTTATAATAGGACAACTTATTTTGAAAATGATAAAAATACTAGATATCAGGTAAATATTAGATATAATGATTTATGTATATTATTATTATTATTATTATTTCTCTACAAATGTTTTAATAATGCCATATGTTCCTTTTGCCTGCCCAGGGACCACATATTAAATTTAGCTCTCTAATTTTCTGTAGATGACTTGTAAATGTATATTGTTGTCAAAAGCACTATATAAGTAAATTTGACTTGACTTAATTCTGGGGCAGTCGTGGACATCCTTTGTCCCTGTTAAATAAATTATGAACTTGAAATGCATACTTTTTGCACTCATTGGCCTCTGAATAAAGATTTTGTAATATTTTTTCCTTGTATATAGTGCGTGACGTGAGTTTCCTTTGCTTTTATTTGAACCACAGTTAAAACCTGTTCAACAAGTCAGGTTTTAACATGCCACTTTAAAAGTGCCATAGACAAGGCCTACCTACATTCTTCCCTTCCAAGCCTCACCTGACCATCCTTTTGACGTCTTTTCCTGTCCACAGGAGGGGATGCCAAGCTTCTGATAATGCTGTGCGTATCTCCCACTCAACGCTTCCTCACCGAATCTCTTCAGTCCCTGGGGTTCGGTGCCCGAGCCAGACAGGTTCAGAGAGAGCCCCCACGGAGGAAAAACACGGCTCTGAAGATGAAGTAACCAACAGGGAGATCCATTTAATAACAGCTTGTATGTTTTTATTTGTATGAATTTTTGTCACAGGTTTATGGTGCTTAGGTCATGTTGAAAGTTGCAGTGCTTTGTAAGAACACTTTAGGGTTAAATTTATGTTGATATCGTAGTTAATGCTTATTAGTGATTCAATATTGTCATTTTTGGACAAGTTACACACAATCTCTTGCACACGGGGGATGTTCCTCTGACAAAAAGTTTACAGGTTTTTGTGTCTAGTGTGAGTGGAATATTTCAGATTATGTGTGTCTGCAATTAACAATTAGTTTGTACTAAAGTATTGATGTGATGATGAAAAATGTATGGCTTTTAAGTAATAGTGTTTGCAACCTGACTCTAGTTGACCTTATTTACTGCAAAGTAACTACTATAAATCACTATTTGTGAATGTTCAAAAATGCTTTAGATTTAATAAAACTTACAGTAAATCATGTACATCCGCTATTTTATTTCTAATATTTTGTCCCATTGTTGCAAAGGGCACTGATGTAATTTTTCTTCCCCAGAGTAGTGTAGAGTTGCTGGGTCGTGCCCTTCTTTATTTACATATTCGTCACAACCAATCGGAGCCTTCTCATGCGTGATGTAACATAAAAACACGGAAGTGTCAGTGTAAGTGTTACTTAAGCGGAGACTTGTTACATAGCGTCCGTAACTGCATCTTCTTCATCTAGAAGTTATAACACGCCTGTCTGTGACTGTATATAGGCTACTGCGTTTGCATTTAAGCGCCCAACGGCGGACAGGTGAGTTTATTTACCACTGCAATCTCAGAACTTAAGTGTATAAAATAGTAGTAGTTTGATTTCAGCGCAATTTGGCAACATTTGGAAAGACGTCGCCAATATTCATCCGTGTGCACTTTTTATTAAGTCGTGTATGAGGGAAAAACATGACCGCTAGTGTGTACTTTTCCTCAGTGTGGCGAGGTATTTACTGCTTACAGCATGTCAAAATTTAAACTAACTGATTTAAGTTGTATTAACATTTAATTAGTAGCTAGAATAGTTCATACATATTGATAGCCTTGTCATAATCATGTTAGAGTACTATACAATCCAATTTACGACCAAACGTACTGGACATGTTCTAAAATGGGAATTCACTCAATGTTGTAGGGAAAAATAAATATCTCCCAATTTTTCCCACGCCCTTTATACAAATGTATAAAGATATTTTAGGTTAAAATATTAAGTCATTACAAAGATTAATCTGGTGTCAGGTGTGGAGCTTCATTCTGATGTAGAGCCATTTCTAAATTGATTGCAACTCTTGTTATTACATTTTTTAATTTTGAACAGCATTACAGTGAAGATGCTTAAAGCCATCGGTCAAACTTTCTTTTCTTCTGGACTCCAGCACCCAAAATTCACTGCTCAACAGAGTAAGGTTAGTGTGTGAGTGTTCATCTGTGATTTTGCCAGAAACCTTCCAGACTTTGGATTTGTTAATATTTACTTATTGCTTATTAGCAGAGCTAATGCTTATTTTTTTTAATGTGGTCTGCTCATGTCTAGTTTAAAGCAGACCTTGTTTCTTGTGGTTGGATGTTGTTTAATGGCTCAAATGTTTCCAGTCATATTTGATGAATAAATGCTTTTCAGGGTGAAGACTATGAGGTCCGCACTTACCACACAACAAACTGGGTCAGCACAGCTGTGACTGGCATGGAGCAGGACCCGGCCTTAAGCACAGGCTTCAGAAGACTCTTCAAATACATTCAGGGGAATAATGACAAGAGTAAGTGGTCATGTTCCTGTAGAGGACTAGAAAGAAGATTTTTCTGTAGTAGACATTCAAGATGAGTACTTTCAGCCATTATTGTCACATTTTGGGCCTTTGTTTATGGGTGAGAAATCTCATGCATAAAGCCAAAATTCGGTTATGTGTAAATTAAGGTTTTCTGTGAGCTACATGACTGCAATGAATCACATCTGGATATGCTTTTATAACAATAAAAAGCATGTGACAGGTTGTGTTCCCACAGAGTAAACTGTGTTAATGATTCACCAGATGACACTCTACTTGCAAAATATCAGATATTTTTTAGCAGATATTTCAGACACTAAGAACAGTGCATGTTTCCGCACCTTTTAATTAATGAACCACCTCGGATATCGGCTTTATTCGAGTGCTTTTCCTGTACGTCATGTATCAGAGTGTAAGGTGGAGATGACGGCACCAGTGAGCTGTATGATTGAGCCTGGTGCTGGACCCGCTTGTGAAAGCACCTTCACTGTGTCCTTCTACATCCCTGAGGAACATCAGGCTGACCCACCCAAACCCACTGATCCAGATGCTTTCATCGAGAACAGAAAAGAGGTCACGGTTTTTGTGAGGTATGTTTGTGATGAGGGCTTTCAAATTGTAGATTTTTTTAAAGCAAGGATGCATTAAATGACAATAAGAACATTTAGAATTTTGAAAAATAAAAATAAAAAATCTATTTCAAGTAAATGGTGCTTCAGTTTTTATCAGTGAATCCTGAATAAAACAATGCAGTTTTCATAAAAATATTAAGCAGTACAACTTTTCAACACTGATAATAAAAAATGTTTCTTGGCCACAAAATCAGCATATTAGAATGATTTCTGAAGCATCATGTGACGCTAAAGACTGGAGTGATGACTGCTGAAAATTCAGCTTCGCCATCTCAGGAAGTTTTTTAGTTTTATTAAAACAGGACAAACAGTTATTTTAAATTTTAATATTTCACAATATTACTGTTTTAACTATTTATTTGATCAAATAAATGCAGTCTTACTAAGCATAAGATAATTATTTTATAAACATTCAAACTTGTTACTCTAAACTTTTGAATGGCAATTTATTTTTCAAGGGATTTTATATCTAGGTCAAACCGAGTATCTTGGAACATCTACATTACTGCATTCTCTAGTTTAAAATAATATTGTTGTCATAGCTTCATGTTAGCTTGGCCTTGTTTTTTTGCAGGACCTATGGAGGCTTTGCTAACAGTGAGAGCAGCCGTGCTGAGCTTCTGAAACTGATAGAGAGCCTCAAGAGGGATGGGATGAAATTCAAGGAGGCTCCGTTTTACAGAGCGGGATATGACAGCCCCTTCAAACTGACCAACCGCAGGAATGAAGTATGGCTGATCAAAGATGAGGAATAAAAGTCCTAACGATCAAATGGTCATGCATTATGATGTGAATGAAGGAGGAGGTCAATTTATTTGTTTGAACTTAACAATAGTTATTGTGCAGATGCTTTGTTTACTATGTACCGCAAGTGCCTGAATGTTTTTATATGAGAATTTAACACTGTACTAATTGTATATCTGACCAATATTTTACAGCAACATTTTTAGGTACCGACAGTTAACTGCGAAATTATACAAAAAGAATGTTGAAATAACTTCTAATTAGCTGTCAGACTGACACATTGCCTAAATCTCACTGTTTGCAATGTCACTAATAATGTCTTAGGATCAAGTACTGCATGACTTGAGTTTAACTTTTTTTAAATGTGAAATATGTATAATGTCATCTGTATTTTGAGCTTTTTATACTGCACTGAATCTTGAATCTAATAATTTAAGGGAACAATAACATTGTATTAGTATTAACTTGACAACTTGTATTTAGTCATTTTGGTCTTAAAATAACCTGTACATTTTTAAACGCGGCCATCTAGTGGTTAAAAAAATATAACCGAACGCATCTTGCCAAAAGCTCTGCTGGCATGAATGAGTAGTATGATGCTGCCACACCTGAGACTGCAGTTTCAGGACCGCAGTCCTAGGAGTTTTTTTTTTCTTTTCATAATGTACTTTTATAGCACTATTCAATTCTGTATTTGTATGATGAATTCTAAGGAATACTTTACGCACATTTGAGAAATGATCATAGTAACAACATTTGTGACCCTGGACCACAAAACCAGTCATAAGGGTCAATTTTTTGAAATTGAGATTTATGCGTCATCTGAAAGCTGAATAAATAAGCTGTATTATTGATATGTGGTATGTTAGGATAGGACAATATTTGGCCAAGATACAACAATTTGAAAGTCTGGAATCTTAGGCTGCAAAAAAAAAAAAAAAAAAAAAGTTGTCCAAATGAAGGTCTTCGCAATGCATATTACTAATCAAAAATTAAGTTTTAATATATTTACGGTAGGAAATTTACAAAATATCTTCATGGAACATGATCGTTACTTAATATCCTAATGATTTTTGGCATAAAAGAAAAATCGATAATTTTGACCCATACAATGTATTTTTGGCTATTGCTACAAATATACCTGTGCGACTTATGACTGGTTTTGTGGTCCAGGGTCACATATATAAAATCAAAGTTACATGTAGGTTTCAGTCATAAACAGACATGTCGTGAATTTATTTTTATTTTGGTCATTTTAAACTACTAACAGATCCAGACAGAGAAAAAAAAGTACTTTATCTGATAAAGGACATAACCTCAGGTGCTAGAGAACTCTTACAAGGCCAAACACACACTCTGCACCATCATCAGGTTTATTTTCGAGGTAACGGTTGCCTGAATATCATATTCACAAGCTCAGCACAAAAGATGATGTGCATGTGGAGAAACAAGGGGCTTACTTCCATCTCTCTGTTGCAGCCGAATCATAAACAAGGATTCATGACGTCTGTCGTGATAGAACCTCTAAAGATCAGATTGGTCCAGGTCACTGTATCGAGCTTTAAATGACGGTCAGTAGGACAGAAAGTGGGGTTGATGACCCTGCAAAGCCTCTGGAGCTATTGTACGGCTGTGGGTGTTATAGTGACAGCACTAATGAGATTGTGGTTTGGGCTGGCGGCTGACAGGTGGCAGTGAATCAAAGACTGAGACAAGACAGATGGGCAATTTTTAAATATCACCATGTTTTATTACAGAGACATACTCTAGAGGGTTAGCAGCTTGCTTCCTCTTTTCCATCGTTGTTTTTCTGATCCGTGTTTCCATCAGTAGAATGGGTTAAGGAACAAAATAGAAGTTCTATGTCCGGTGAATCTGAATTTAAAGACCACAAATCTGTAGGAGGTCCCGTCTAATCACACCTCATTCACCTCCCTCTCAAAAAGCTCACTTCCAGATACAGTATATCAAACCACATTCTGGCTATTCTAAAATAAATACTCTACAAAAGGAAGCCACTCCTAGCAAAGGTTTCTAAAAATGTACAAATTCTTTGAAAATAAGATCAGGTGTTACTTAACATTTCTGTAGGTATATACATAAAAAAACATTATAAAACTGCACAGAAAAGAAAACGCTTGACAGGTAAACAGGAGGATTAGTCATTAAGCGGTTACTTTCGCTAGATGTTAACAGAACAGAACTCGGGCTGAAAAACGCCCTCACATTTCAGCAAGTTAAGAGTGTCCCGTTCGGCTCTTTGGTAACCAAAACAATTACAAGTAAACATTTGTTTCAAGTAAGATGTCGGAATTCACTTTTTAAAATAACCAACACAGACACAATGCTTTTTAAATGACAAATAAAAGAAGACGATGAACACAGTGCAAACCTACACACCAAAAACCAAACATAAATGCTTCCACAAACAAGCCTTCGTTACTCCAATCCCAATTCAATTTCCATTCCAGACACTTCCGTTGGAAAGATACCCACTTGTAGGAATCGGTCGGTGTGCTATTTATCTTGGGTCTTTGAAGACCGGCGTACTCAAGCGGTAAGGCGCTGACAGAGCTGCCTCGCTGAAGTTTGAGATGTGACGCACCACAAAATATCCATCAACTTGAACTACTACAGCCAAAACAAGTAGTCACATAGTAATTCCTTCATTACAACTTTCGTTAACTGCTTCACCAAAAAAAAAAAAAAAACCCCACACAAATCTGACTGTTACTGCTTAAGAATGGAAATAAAAAGCTGAACAACATAAAAGAAGTAATTGCTAAGCTTTGGAAAGATGAGTCTAGTATTGCCACTGAAAGCGGAGTTCTCTCCGAAAAGAAGGTCAGATTGGATTGGATTGGTTACTTTTTTTCTGAAGAGCTACAGATACAGCAGTATCTCGTCTACTGCTTGAGCTGACTGCTTGATCTACCTTAGATCCACAAGACTTAGCCCACACTACAACATCAGACAGTGCTGCCTGGATTAGCGGGCGGCAAGACCTTCTAGAGTTCAGCCTCTCCTGGTCTTCTGCCCTCAGTCAATCTCTGGTGCCGAGAAGGCGTTCTGCCTTTGCCAAGGAGCCGTTTGGTATCCTAACTGCTGCTCTGCTTACATAAAGTGCTGTTGGAGTCCTGAGAGATGGGAAGGGGCATGTTTGATGGAGGAACAGGGCATGGGTCTTCACAGTCGGTGAGTTCCCCATCCCTCTCGCAAATAACAGTCATGGGGCTGCTGAGGATCCGGCTGCGGGTGTTATACTTGCTGCTGGCGGCGGAGGGCGGTGTGCGAGATCGGCCGTACTTCGGACCGATTAACGTTGGGGATGTTGAAAACATTCCCTCGTTGCGTGCCCAGTCCTCGGGCGTCCTCTTGTTCCGGCCTGGTGAAGAGCAGGGGCTCTCGCCCGTTGGAGATGCTGGATCGAATGAGGAGTCGAGAGAGCGAGTTCTCTGAAAGCGTGGGTCGGTGCTGCGCAGCATCTCTGCAGCAGACATGCGGAAGCTGGTCTCGGAGCGACTGCCTTTCTTCAGCAGGAGGGCCTTGAAGGTGTCGCTGCTTGTTGCGGATTTGCGCAGGCTGCGCTGGACGGAGCCCATTTGCCGTGACAGAGAGGAAGTCAAGCCGGGGGCCGTTCCTGTAGGGGTGGCCGGTGGGGATAAAGGACGTCGTGAACAGTCCTCTTCGGATTCCTTGCGGCCCAGGACCTTCCGCTTCGACCTGGAGACAAAGATGAAGTAATGTCAGGTAAGTTGTTTTGTCAAAAGAGGAATAGGTAACACTTTTTTTTTTAAGGTGTCCTTGTTACACGTTACATGTACTTACTATTATAATAACAATTATGTATAATTACATGTAAGTAACCCTAAACCAAACCCTTATCCTAACACTAACCATATGTAGTAAGTACATGAAGTTAATTAATATTACTCAGTACTTATTATTGTATAATTACTGTAACAAGGACACCTTAAAATAACGTGTGACCAAGAAATAAAGCAAGGAAAGCCAAAGAAGGGATGCACAATATCTCAATATCAGTCAACAGAAGTCAACACTTAGTTCATCTTTAAAAAAATAAATTAATAACACTGTTAAATGTAATTTTTAGCAAATCTGTAGCAATACTGTACATTATAATGCTGTGATGGCTAAATTCACTTCACCATTTAAAACAATTGGTTTTAATTTTTAGTGTTTTGATAGTGTAGAATTTTAATATTATCTCTTTATCAATTATTTTAAAATTGAGAATTTTAAAATCGTGCATCCCTAAACCAAAAGTACTTTTTTTTAAGTATTAGCTAAAGCTTATATTAGTTAGCAGTAGGCAGTAGAACATCAGTTCATTTAGTACAAACAAAAAAGTTGTTTGATGTTTTTTTTGTGTTTGAAACTATTATTTAAAGACAAATCTATTGACAGAGCTGCCACTTAATGAAAATGCTTTACTTCAGTTAACAACTAATCTAACTGCTCCTGAAGCTGAATGACTTGAATAAGATTTGAGTCAATTTTTATGATTAATTTTTTCAGTCTTGATGAGACTGTCCCCTTCATTGATTTCTGTTCCACTTTCTCATTAAACTCAGCTAGCCCCCAGCAAACCAAAACTTCACTTCACTTGGAAAAGCAGGAATAACTTAATGGAGGATATAAATAGCGGGAGTGTGTGTGTGTGTGTGTGTGTGTG